TGGTTTGGACAAGTTAGACTATTGCCTACAGGTATGAAACTTTGTTTTCTTATATTTGTATATTTGTACAAATATAACCTCTCCTCATGATAAAGGTAAAATTTGCTAGAGCATTGAAATAAAAATGTCCTTAAAAAATCAAAAATAGAGAAAAAAGTGGCAACTTATTAGATAACATGGATTTTCGTTGCAGTGAAACTGCTCTCATTATGTATTTGTCAGGCAGATGAATGATCCAATAAAGAATTACAGGTGGTTCTCAAAGCTGAAAAGCCTTTACTTTTATGATAATAAGACTCCTCATTTGTGAAAAAAAATTACAGTGGCTGTAAAATATTTGCGATTGGGAATAAAATAAATACGTAAAGTAAATAAGTTAATTTGCTGACAAACTAACTTCTGATTATATGTAAGTTTTTAATGAAAAGATTAAATCTAACACCTATCAAGGGTATGTGCACATACGTGAGTTTCAAGATTCATCACAGGGCTGACTGTACTCAAATTCCTGCAGAGAAGGATATCGTAAGAGAACTGATTTTTATGGAAAAACATAATTTTAATATCATAAAGTATACTCTGTGCAGTAATTTATTTGAGAAGTATTTTAAACAATGTCCACATTGCTAGAATCGTTTATAGAAAAGTCAGGCATTTGAGGGCAGAGGCTAAGTCAGTGTTTCACAAAGCAATGTGTGGGAACTCAGATCCACTATGGCTTCCGAGAGGTACAGCCTGAAGAGGGCCACTTGGAAGAGGGTGGTAGACAAGTGAAGAGATCAGAGGTGGTTGTGCCAATGGGGAAAGAAGCAAGGGTGGTATTTTTCTCTAAGGTCTAGAGAGAGATTAATTTTTCTGTGACTCCTAACAAGATAATCACTTACTTGCAAAGCTGACTGTCAAGGGGTAATTTCCAAGGGAAACATGGGACTACTCCCAGGAAGTTGGGGCTTAGAGTGTTTTCAGCTCATAACTGAAAGAGAAGTGTATTCTTCTGCCCAAAATATCACCTGGTGGGAAAGAGGTGAGGCAGGAGTCTGCAAAGTGACACAGTCTACATTTTTGTATGTACCTCTACAAAAGCAGTGGGACTTGAACAGAGTGTCTGAAATTTCTACTGTTTTATAGAAACTTGCCTTTTAATGAAAAGAACGAAGCAGCCCATGGTGTTAAAAGCCATTTGTCCATACAAACGCAAAGGTTCCTGACCCAAGGTGGTGCCCACAACAGCTTCATGCTTGTAAGTATGGAGAGAATTACTCTTGCAAAGGCACCTCTGGGATTAGAAAAATTGTATTCATTCTACCCAGAAGTATAAAAGCTGGCCCCATTGTAATATTAGTAAAATCAAGGTCTCCACTGATAACTGTTATTTTAAAATCACACCTAATCTACATCTGTATAATGTCATTCATTCTTAAGCAAGTGGCAATCAGGAGACATGAGTCTGCCTTCATGTGTCTACATGGGTACAAGGCTGCCCTTCAAAGTCCATATACACAAAGAGAGGCACAGCAGAATTTTCTTGCCTTTGGCATATACAGAAGTTAGTTTATCTGGTTTTCTAATAACTAGAAGTTAATACACCTGGACTTCTCATTTGCAATATTAAAAATCATTGGTCTAAAAACCAGAGTCCAAAATAATGGAAATAACAGCAGTTTGAAATGCTTGGTTTAGCATTATTTATCAGAATACTGTTAACTAATTGCTTTTTTTGTTTGTTTTTGGAAATGGGAAGGTAACATGGAAAAAAGGGACATTTCACAAATTAAATGTATTTTGTTTGTTTACTAAATGGCACCACTCAATCTTTGTCTCTGCATAAGGTAATAGAATATTTACATTTCCTTTACTTCATTTTGAAGACCTCTTACTTAAAGTCACGTAACATATTTGCCTGTTAAACTCTGCAAGGTGGTGTTTGCAAAACAAATTAAAAAAAATATTCTCTTTACACTCAATGCAATTAAAAATGGTAAAAGAATAAAAGAATGAGAAAAAATTTAATTGCAATGCTTTAAAGCAAGTTTTCACAAGTGGAACCAGCTCTTTATATGCCTACTTTCAGCTAAACCTAACAAATAACAATTTTAAATGGCAAACTTATTTTTTACTATGCAAAATCCATCCTACATTTTCATATCCTGCATTTTATTTTAGTTACATAGTAGTTTGTGGTTGATTTTCTAGTTTGATTTATTTAATAATATTAAAATCATTTAATATCTGATAACCTAACTAAATCTACATCTTACAGCATTATCATGGTTTTGCCCAGCTATTTACATGCTCTCATGATCACCTTTTCTATTACCTTATGAACTACATACTAGTTAAATAATCAACATTTATAGATGGATGAATAATTCAAGTTTTGAAATAAAGTTTAGTTAGCTCTAGAAAACATGTATTTACATCCTTCCCTGTTGGGCTGAAACAATTTTATTTTTCTTTTCACTTAGACACTTCAAAAAGCATGTTGATAGCCCCTTGGACTTCATCTAGCAGCAGAACCTCACAGACCTTCTACTGGTTTGTCCTCAGCATCGGGAATATGCACAATCTTCATGTCACATCCTACTTTTAGAAGGTATTAACACATACATTATAACACATAGAGCACTATCTCTTCTTTTCTGTTTCTCAATATACAAATAGTCATTCTTCCTGATCTACTAAAAGAGAATCTCATATTTTTAGTTTGTATATTTTAATAAAATTTGAGTTTGAGGGGCTCCTGGGTGGTTCAGTCGGTTAAGCGGCTGCCTTCAGCTCAGGTCATGATCCCAAGGTCCTGGGATCAAGCCCCACATCGGGCTCCTTGCTCAGCAGGGAGCCTGCTTCTCCTCTGCCTACCATTCCCCCTTCTTGGGCTTGCTCTCTCCTTCCCTCTCTGTGTGTCAAATAAATAAATAAAATCTTTAAAAAAAAATTTGAGTTTGCACTGTTTTTAATTCTATTTCAAGAATATTGAGAAAGAACTCTCACCCTAACCTGTACCACTGAAATTTGGAAAACCAAATCTTAGTAGTCCAAGAACCTCTTTATGGTGCTGGATGCTTTGTGGTTCTGGGTCTACTCTGATTTAGAGAACATCTTTCTCATCTAAGAACTAAAGAATGGTTCTTTAAAGAACCATTTAGTTATACAGTTTTTCTTTATCTGGGATCTTTAGATGGGATTCCCCAAGATAGGCCACAAAATTTGGTGACTTAAAAAATATATAGTCTGTGTAACTTTACTACTAATTTTCCTCAAATTTACTTAATTGGTTCTGCATGTTTGCATTGATACAACTAGCCTCTGGGATTTGATATTCTGATGCACTTTGCAGCCTTCGATTGGCATTTTAAAACTTCACTCTACTGGGTTGAATAAGTTATTTTTTGGAACGGACAAAATGATTTTTTTCTTCCTTTTGTACACTTTGAAATATATTTTTCCAGGGGGACAAAAATAAGAGAGAAATCCTAAAACAATTGAAATAAAAAATGTACTATAGAAATCATTCAAAAGGAACAATAAAGTGGTTTTTGTGAAGCATTTTAGGTTTTTTTGGATTGTACCTGCATCTATCTCTAGTTGTTAGTGGTAGATTACCTGATGTGTAAGGGTTTTGTGTTCTTAGAATGAAGGAAACTACATTCATTGAATACATTCTATTACCTTAACAGTAAAAAAATTATTTTTCTTCCCTTCTCAAAATAAGTGATTCTGTTTTCCATATCCCAGAAGAAACCATATGAATATTATAAAACAGAAGGAAAAAAATCAAGTTCTACTATCCAACAAGGGTGCTGTAAGTCGTAAGTTGGTATAGATTTATCTAGAAAGGGAGGCTTATATCCAAATTCTCATAAGAACTTATGTGAGGTCCCCTTTCTCTGGAGACTCCTCTGAATGGCTGGGAGAGTTTGAAGCTGTTGGGCTGTAGCCCGTAAGTCATTCTGTGTCTTCAACCCAGAAAAGTTCATGATTGAACCTCACTAGAAGGGGTCTTACAAACCTCTCCTTTGCTCTACTTCACACTTTTAGCTTACCTCATTTCTCATAACTTAGTAAGAAACCAGTCCTGATACCTCCAAGGTTCTTGGCCAAAGACCAACACCTGCTGTTGACTTAATGGTCAAATTAGAATCTAGATAGGCTAATTAGCCAGTGAGGCAATATCCTTCTACCAGTTCATGTTTGGATGATAACACTGAAACTATCCTATTTGTCAACTTCAGTAATTTGTAGGTTGTTTAATTCATGTTCCAAGTGAGTTCACAGGAGATCTTTTAACAAACAACAGATTTTATGATGACTGCTCACAAAACAGTCCATAAAATCTTATTCCTTGAACTTATGGGGAAATTCAAATGTCATTCCAAATAAATTGACTTAAAATCATTAAGTTAGGGATAATATTACATTTATGTTAATGTTCTCCACTTACACAGTGCTCTTAGTAGACTAAATAAATATCAGTTGAAAAAACAAGGGAATTGAATGGATGGATTGATTTACTTTTTCAAAATAGGCAGAAACCTAGATCTCTTTGCATCTTTTTTTTTTCTCCTTGTAAACCCTCTGCTTTACCAACAGAGATTTTTAGTTTCATTGTTTTCTTTTTTGGCAATAGACTTGAATTTGATGCCAAAATTTTAGCATTTGAAAAAAAAAAATTTAATTCAAATGACTGTCCAAGCAGATTTTCCTAGAAAAGAGAGACTACCTGATTTTCTTGTTCCAGGAGACTCATTCCTACCATTTGTTCCCATTGCTCATCTTAGTAGGTGTTCTTTTAAGATGATACATAAAAAGATGGTTCTAGAACTAGGATGATGAGTATGAAGAAAGTGTTATTATACAAAGTATCAAAAGATTAGTATGTTCGATATTAAAATAATTACATGAGAATTTTTTCATGTTTATTTACAACTTTTAACCCAAGAACCTACCTATAAACTGCGAACATTTGTGTATTTTTTTATTATACCGATTTATGTGCAAAGAGTTACCTTCTACTTAATATAAATAGAGTCTCATACTAGAAATTCCATGGAATCAAGCCAATCCTTACTTGCATTCCTTCATGTGGAGTATATAAACTGGATAACTCTCCTTGCAGAGCAAATGTGATATCACTTGTAGATAATGTGCTGGCCCTCTCACCATAATCTCTGGATACTGTTCCAAAGTCCTAATTTGCTTGGTTCGGCATTTCCACAGTCTTTCCTTATCTTAGCTCTTTTAAAAAAATGTACTTTAGTTATTTTGCTGGTTGCTTCCATATTGCTTCATTCAAAATCCAAAATGGAGTTCAGAAAGGGAACAAATAAAATTATAGCTTAAGTGCAAACTACATTTTTGAGTATCTGCCAGGTAGACATACCCAATCCAGTGTCTCTTCCAGTTCAATGGATTCCCCATTGGACCACCCCTGAAAGTGTCAGTAGTTTTCATGAACCACACAGAACTGTCTCTTAGTTTCCCTTTTACTCTTTACGTTACCAACTGCCTATCAAGTACTGTCATTTATGGAGAAGAAAATGTTGAAGAATGTAAAGGACGTGGGGGTACATAGTCAAAAGTGTAAAACATGACAGATTTGATGTTACACTTGACTAGTATCTTGGCCTCCCCTTCTAATTTTAAAGGCTCTATATTTAAAATAATGGTCATTTCACCATATTAAAATATTTTTTTACAATTCTGTCAATTTATAGCAACACTTAAGAAACTCTGATGTAAAAATATTTGCAATCAGAAATTAAAGTCAGAATATGTGGGGAAAAAAGTAATATAAAGGGAAAGAGCAAAGCAAAATGAAACAAAATGAAAAGACCAAAAAAAAAAAAAAAAAAATCCCTCCAAACATAATTACTAGTTATAACTTTGAGAGAGATTAAGAAATTATGAAAGCTGAGTTGGCTGCCCTTGCTTGTTAGGATAGAAACCGTTGGAAAAAGAAACTGGATTTTCAATCTCAGTTACTATCGTATGTTACAGAAAAGGTTATCCTTTTGTTCTAATGGAAACTTTATTACGATTTCCAAGGGTACTGAGAATGTACACGTCCGTTCCTACAGATAGGAACAGATAGCATGGGTCTTTCAGGGATCTGCATTAAAAAAAAAAAAAAATTGAAAAAAAGAAAAAAAGAGAAAACATTGAGAACTAGCTTGACAGCAGGCAGTATTGCCTTGTTGTATTTGCTGGTCCTTCTCTAGCTGTTCCAATCTCCTGACCAACCCATGCAGAGAAAGGAAGAAACAGTGTGGTTCCTCCTGTCTTTCTCTTTCAGCTCTTCCTCCTCATGTTCAAGTTAGATAAGCACATGACTATCATTGCATCTCTGTATCTTCCACTGGGAAGTGTCAAAACTACTGGCCTTGGGAATAGAAGGAAGACCGTAAGAGAAAGAGAGGCGGCCGGGAAATTGGAGCGGGCATGTCTCTCTCTTAAAGCCACTGCTCAGCTCACACCACGGTATTTCGGTGTCTGTAGGGTGGAGGAGGCAGCCCAGTGCCTGGCTTCAGCGAGAACTCAGAGAGGTATTCCGGATTCTCTGCCACAATAGGCCGGATCCGTCCATTTTGTTTATAAAAATATTTTGTGCTGTACTCCTGCAGGTAGTCTGGGTGCTGAAGGGTGCTCCGAGGTGGCAGGCTGTGGTTCCAGTAGTCAGGGTTGTCGAATGCTTTCTTGGCCTTCTCCGGCACAGACAGTACATTGTTCTTCAGGTACTCGGCATTCCCCAGTGCGTTGGCGAAGGTGTTGAGGTACAGTGGCTCATTCACATACTCATCCTCTGCCTTGGGTGGACCATTGGAAGCGTTGTGATATTCGGGATTATCCAAAGCTTGAAGGTCTCCATTTTTCCTCCGAGAAACAAAAGGGTTTTCCTCCACGGGGTTCAGGTATTCTGATGGAATACAAAAGTATCAGTTAATATCTACTTTCCAGAAAATGTTAATCAGACAAAGGTTATACAGGATGGTTAGCTTCTTTTTCCAGAACAATAAAGCCATGGATTTGTTTTCGTGAATTTTCACAAAAACTATTTTGTTGATTACTTTTGTCATATGAACAAAGAGTAGGTGGGCCAAAACTCTTAATGACTAAACAAGGCAAACTCAGGCCGGAAGCAGAGTTCCTGTCCCCTAGATTGTTCCTTTTTCCTTCTAATTCCATTTGTTTCTGCTACATAGGAGGCCACTGTTTAAAGGCTTCTGTTTTCTAAAAGTCAGTATTTTTTGTTGTTGGAAAATATGACAACGGGGTTGAAAATACGGGGTTAAATAGCTTTTAAATGTGGAGAAATTAGAATTTCTAAAAGGGTACTGGAAAATCAAAAGGTCTATAGCTTAACTCCATGCCAAGACGAATGGATGAAGTGAAGGAATGGCGTTTTTCAGTCTGTGTGTTTTTTGCTGTGATGTCCATATAGGTAAAATGGATTTGATTATACAATGTTTTCCAGAAAGCTTCACACATTAGAAAGAAAACATCCAAAGAGAAGACTCAACTAATAAAATCTGCTAGACATCTAACATGTCACTAAATTGACTTGTGTGACATTACATATGCCTATGAATAAATTGCAATTAGAACATTTACTTCCACTGGCTAACCATAATCACGAAATAGAAACTAGTTTGATCATATGAAATAACTCTTTTGTAGGTTGAAACCAGTCATAATAGTGGCTATTTTGCGTGATTTGATCTAATAAATTACTATAGAATATTGACCGGGGAATTTTTTTAAGAGGTGTTAATCAATGCTGCTCTTCTTAAATTTAATTCCTCCTCTATGTCTATATGTCTATAGACTACATACAGACCTATATTCACACATACAGTAGACCTCTTTTAATGTATACACAGATATGGCACTTTAGCTATTGCTATTTTGGTGTTGGGGCAGGGAAAAGGTACAATTGTTTGTTGAGATGCCACCATTCTGAAACAAACTTTCTGTCCTCTATACTTAGCCTGACAAGTAGAGAAAAATAATCTCATCAAATCAGGGTGATTTGTCCCTTGATATAGGCCTGCTTGATATACTTAAGTATTTAGCATCATGTGCAAGTTAAAGGATAGTAATGACTATCCCACCATCATATATAGGAATGACAGGAGCTTACATCATCCTCACAACAATCCTGTGAGAAAGGAAGTGAAGCTGTATTTTTTTCAGCCTTATAAACAGAAAACCAAGATTAAATGATGTATGAGGGATACAACTAGCGTTGAACTAGAACTCAGATCTAAAACTCCTACTGAGCAGTCTTCTTGTTCTACTGTACTATTTTCATTATTGTCCCTAAAGGAGTAGGGAGAACTTTTCACTTCATAACATGTTGGAATTTGAATGGTTTTCAAAGTGACAGTCATTTTAAGAAAAATGTATGAAAAAAAAATGCTTTTAAGGGAGGCAGAATTTGATTTTCCTTACCAGGTTCCTGAAACTTCTTAACTGAAAGTGTAGGAATGTCTATACTAAAATTCTCTACTCTCCGAGAAGTAGGCTGGAGTACAATAATCTTCTGTAGAAACTTACATTCAGGGACAAAATCAAGGGACGCTCTACAGTGAGTCTATATAGGCTGCCTTGTGTTTTCTCTTAGAAGATTCATGTTACCTTTTCGCAATGCAAGCTACTTATCGATTTCCTGATGCAAACTTGCAGCCTTGCAGTTTTAAGTGGAGAAACAGCTCTATGGTTGAGCTGAGACTCTTCCCAGAGAGTATTGCACTTTCAGGGGGTTATCTGCCAAATCTTCTCAAAACCTACATTTGTGTCACTACTGGGCTACTATCCAATTCTTCCAATACATCTAATTCTTCAGTACAGTAATACCTTTCTATACCTCTAGATAGAGACACTTTAATAGGTTACTTACAATATGTACTTAGGGATCCCTTAGTTGCATTTTATAAAATTAAATATAACCATATATTCAAGGACATAATGGGCCTTCATATGGAGTCTTAAAATAAAGTTTACTTGACCCTGAAGACTCTGAGACACAATAATCAGTTTTTAATAACAATCATCCATCTTCTCCTTTCTGTGATGCTGTTAACGTGGAAGGAAAGTGGCTTTTTCAAAATTGAAATGTCATTTGATTTGGATGTCTAACATTTCTACTACTAACTTCGTAAAGTCATCGCTGAGCTTTGTAGAACCACAAACTGAATATTTTCAAGACATGATGGTACACCTTGAAGTAAATGCAGCATCAGAACTTTAATTTTTGAAATGTGTCATATAAGGAATAATAATCTCCTGTAATGAACAAGATCATCCCAGTGATGCCAAATTTTAAAGAACTGACCAAATCTTTTATTGGTGCCATCAAAATACCAGTCTTTATGATCTCCACAATAAGTTCAATGAAGCCATGGTTCCAAAATCTTGTGATGTGCCACCTCACTCAAATATTCAATAAAGATGGTCCAATAAAGATAAGTTTAGATCAGTGCTTCTCAGGCTTGACTAGGCATACAAGTCACATAGGGATCTTGTTAAAATGCAGATTCCTATTCAGGTGGTGCCTGAGGTTCGGATTTCTAAAAAGCCCCCGGATGGTGTAAATGGTGTGGGTTTGGACAATATGCTACACAGAGCAGCAGCCTAGGCCTCTTCTGGGTCACAGATGTTCCGCAGTCCAGGGGTTTGGCAATTTCCCTTCTACACGGTATTGCTCATTTTGATAGGGAAGTGAAATGCCGAATGACAGTCATTTCTGCACATTCTGTTTGTACCTTGTTTAGGTTTATCTCGCATCGGGGTCATGTAACCTTCTTCGTCCAGCTCTCCTCGTGGGCTCCGTTCCGGGGCAAACACGGTGGGGTCAGCGCTGTACCTCTGGGTACTGCTCTCCTCCTGGACGTGGGGTGCCACTGGCTTGCGTAGGGTGCCGTTACAACAGGAGTCATCAAAAATCTCGGCTGTGGCCCCCTGAGCAACTGGAGCTTCTGGGATCGTGCTGGTCGTGGCTCTGTAGGGCACAGGCACTCCTTGCTCTGTAGTTAGACCCCCATCTCGGTATACAAACTGGTTCTGTCAACAGAGAGACACATTTAGACACAATAAGTTATTATTAGGAATAGCCTTAAAAAAAATAACCAAAAGGATGTGCAACCTTGTCTTTCAGACAAAAGTCAGAGTTTCTTAATTGAGTTTTCCCCCTGAATGGCTGACAAGTTTGAGTTACAACCCCCTAAAATTCCAATTTTTCTTACAAAGTGATCCTGGGGAAAGAATTTGGAAATACCTATTTAAATTTTACTGACCACCTAACATATGACCTAATACAAAATATTTCATGTCATTTTCCCACAGTCGCCCATTTTTGATATACAATTCAAATTTCATGACAAATGGAAATGTTATTAACTGTAGACAGTCGACATTAAGAACAGAAGCACAGTAATGCCATTTGGTTGGTGATATTTCCTTACTGCCGTCTCTTCTGTGGTCACTCTGACTTTGAGTCTCCAAGTACCTAACTAGGGAATCATTACTGAGACTCTGACTTTTTAGCACACAACCTATAATCATGGAAATAATGATAACCTCCTCAACCAGAAGCATAATTTATGAGTCCAGGTAAATCCTTCAGGTAAAAATCAAAAGCTACTGTTGGTGCATGGCATCTCAGTTTTGGATTATCTGCTGAAGTAAAACATATCCACAAAGCCAGCTATACAATCTACAGCAAAGTCTTACTCACTGTTGGCAAAAGCAAAATGAGGAAACTATGGGGAGACAAGAGAGAAGAAACATGATAAGCAAAGGCCAAAAATATGAAAAGATGAAGGTTGATCATGAAATACTTACTCCTGACATGGGGGTGTAGGCAGGAGGTGGGCTGTGTCCAATTTCACTCTAATAGGAAAGAAAAATGGAATGATGGATATAATAAGAGGTATTATGAATGAAAAGAAAAAAAAAAAAAAAGAAAAGAAAAGCCACATGAATTGTATGAACCTAAGGGGAAAACATGCACAACAGTGAAGTTTGCTAAATGGTAAAATTTTATGCACTCTGACTATAAATAAGTTTATTTTTGTGTTTTGAGAATATTAAATATTGTATGAAATATTTTAGTTCAATCCCTGAAAAGAAAAATTACATAGAAAAAGTAAAATTTCAAATGGATTAAAAATGAAGTTGACAATGACTATTTTTCTCATTAACCCTGGGAGAAAGATAAAAATGGTAAATAATTAACTATAGTTTTAAATAAAGAACCATTTCCTTCCTTACAGGTTGTATGGCTGAAATGGCCATATACCACAGCATTGGTTCTCTCTTGTAAAAAGAAACTTACCTAGAAGGAGATAGAAGTGAATTTCAATTTTCCTTGAATAATTTTTACTACCAGGTTACATTTATTTTTCACTATTTCAGCAAAGGGTCAATTTCTTAGCCTTTCCTTTTAAAAAATACATACTGTTTTCTCCTCAGTCTGATTTTTTGTAAGTTAAGAAACAGAAGAAAATCTTGGAAAATTAATTCCAGTCCTGGAAATATGCTTTGCATATATTACTTTCATGTATTTAGAATCAGTTAAAATTAGATTTCAGTTAAAAAAAAAAAGGCATCCGTATTCTTATAGCTTAATACTCCATCCTATGAGCTAAATAAAAGTGGATATAAAAATATGATAAAATATTAAGGACAATATACTTAGAGTAAGTAGAGGGGGTTATATGAGTATCAACACCATTTCTTAATAATATATGTATTTTAAATATATTTCTTGAGAACTTACTATCTATGTGCCAGACACTTTTCTGGACACTGGAGATAATGAATAATGCAGATAAAAACAGTTGATTTTATGAAGCTTGCATTCTCTGCACACATGTATGAAACTTGGCTAAGTATTATTCCAGGCCAGTGTTTTTACAATTTAGAGATTCATAAAACAAACTCTAAGAAGAATATGGTTCCATGGATATTAACTGTTTAATATAAATTAATAGCAACCAGATAACACAATTTCCCATAATTAACTTAGTCTCCTGGGACTAATAACCCTGGGGCCAAGTTCTGAACTCCTACATTAGGTTTACATTTTAACTTTCCTCAAAACTGAGTCATTTACATGATGGGATAGAAACTATTGATCTCTTTCCTTCTCTAATAACTAAGAACGTCTTGAAGATCATGACATGGAAAATTAGAGATACATTTAATATGCTAAGCATAGAAGGTAGTATTGTCCAGTAGACACATTGTTTTATGATTTGTTAGATCTTTGAGCTCCAGGCCCAGTTACAAATGATGTCGTCAATCGTGAAACATCTCAGATCATCATTTTTATTCTTGGCCTCTCACTCTTTATATCTTAGTGAAGACAAAGTAAGAAGGCGTATATAAATGAACTTTGTAAGCTCTGCACACTATAAAAATGTAAAGGATATATAAAATTTAAATATTCACATTTGCTAAATCAAATTATTAAAGTCAAGCAATCAAAATGCCAAAGCTACTCATCAAAGAGGCATTGAAAAGTGCTTCCCTCTTCTCCATATCACCTTCAGTATAGGTATATTTTATTATTTTTTAGAAAGATATGAAATTAAATACATTTTTTTTCATAAAATCTGAGGGGAATTTGCTGTATAGTCCAGTGAGATGTAAAATAGAGGGATGGTATGGGAAATATGACAAGTGCCTGGTGGAACTTGATCATATTATAAACCTTGGCCTTACCCTATCATTAAACCCTGATTATTGAGCAAGCATTTAACAAATATTTATTAAACCTCTCCAATGAAAGCACAGGAACTGTGAGATGCTGGAGATACCATGAGACACTAGGAGAGACGTGACCACTGGCCTTTTGCAATTTATACTGAACGATCAAATATTACCTGAGATTATTAGAAGAAAAAGCAAGAGTAAGATGAAGCTGCGGTGAATTTATTTGAATTCTATGATTACATATTAGAAGACAAGTATTCCAAAATATTAGTAATTACTGCTGTTCCTTTGACCTCTTACTTCACAACAGTTGCCGTACTGGGTCATGTTTGACTAGATTCACAGTTCAGAGAACAGCACGGATGGCTATGGCTCTACATTTTATATTTTATAAAACTTGAGGGAGAAGTGATCAAAGGAATAACTCGCAAGTCATTCTTCATCAGGAAATACTTTATTGTATATATTCATTATCTGGGCTAGGCTGTCTGCAATTATAAAAACGTTGTGTTAAAAATAACTAGACCTCTTGAAGAGAGGCCATGCCATATTAGAATGCAGGCGCTCTCCCTGTTTTGACAAGTCTTTCCATCAGCAACCTGCCAAATCTGGATCTGGACATACTGCCAGATACCATCACAGTAATAGGAGTGTCTTCATGTTTTTCCTAGTTTTCTGCATTAAAATGGAAAAAAAAAATACTAAGCAAAGTCCCTTTAGAACTCATTGTTTTTGGGGTTACTGGCTGCTTTTTATTTTTTTGTTTCCTTTTTTTTTTTAATTTGCTTTTTTTTTTTTTCTGTTTTCCATGATAAAAAGTACCTCATTCATTTCCCCCTGGAAGGGCAATGTAGCTACAAGGGAACATCTGTGAGGCCAATTAGCGGGGCTGGAAATGTGATATAATTGTTGTTTAAATATATTTAAATTACATGTTAATCACTATGTCATAATTTATAGGCTTTGAAAATAACTTTTTGTACTTGAGAGCCAAGCCAGATTTTACTTGTTTTTGCTGTTTTTAGTTTGTAGCAAGCTCTTCTCATTCGCCGCCCCGCTCCCTCCCCGCCGCCCCAATTTCCCACACTTGAAGAGCTGAACTTTTAATATCAGAATGACAGCTGCAAGTAAATTGGTTGAGTAAAAATTAAGATCCCCACAGTCAGAACACGCTGGAGTGACCTTAAAGTTCTGAGCAGAACAAAGCAGTGCTCTCAGTTAAAAGGCTTTTGTTTTTTTCATTGTGCCATTTTCTGCTGTCCATCAAAGCCCAGCTTTGCGGATCTTCGGGAAGTACTGGGTGCATCTGTTCAATTAGCTGGGGAGGGGATTTATGGTCAGCAGGGCAGAGATAGAAAGAGGTGGGTTATAAACTGGCAGGTGATAGGGAATTTGTTTCTGGTGGGGGGATTTGTAAGGGTGATGGAGTCAAGTTTAATTTTGTGGCCCTTTCACTGGGACATTGTATGATTAATTTAGACTCAAATGCCCGAGGTTATAGAGAAGGCAAATATCAGCAAATATATCAAATATGGTGTTAAATGCACTTTACATACATCATGTTCCGAAATTTGCATTTCAGTTGAATGATAAAAATATGAAGCTGTCTTATTATATGCACTGTATTTCTCATATCTATTGTTTTAATTAAAACATTATATTGTTTAATATTGCTCCTGGGAAATTTTAAATTGTTAACCAGATGGGTTTTGTCTTTTAATATTTTTTTTAATATCAGACAAATCTATGTTCTTAGGAAACAAAAATACATACTTAATGCCTAACCTCTATCTAAATTAAACATGCACTTAATGAGAGAGAGGTTTTTTATCTTCAGATAATTGTACCTATCAATATTACCTATAGGTAGAGTATTTCTTGACCCTAGAAACTTTAATCCTATAGGGTCAAGAAATACTCTAAATCCTTTTAACTAAAACACAATGTATCTCTGTAAGATGTTACTAATCCATCTGCACTAATTTATTACCTAAACACATGTAACTATTAAGGGTTCTCAACTTTTTATCCTCCCTGGCATGTATTCTTAACACTCTGATGGGCCTTTTCACATTTTTACAGGTCAGGTAGCAGACAGATAAAATATTTTTGGCATTACGTCCAATTCCTGATGCATGGCTATAACTTACATATTTTTTCACAACCAAGTTCAACATATCAATGTTTGAGACACCTAGATTTAGAATCTCCATTTTTCATAAAGCAGCCAGGAGAAAGCAGTGTGTCCACGTACGAAAAACCAGCAAGAACCAGGAGAAACCCTATTGAATCTAGGCAGTTGGCTCACACATTTGCACGCACGCACACATATAATTTGTATATACAAATTACACAAAACATCTTTTGTCTATTTATGCATGTGTTTATTTATTAATGCACTCTCCATCTACTTGTTTGATTATGTGGAATGCTGCTTTTTGAGTCAAGAACTACAAACTTCCAATTATAAAATAAAGTCATGAGGATGTAATGTACAGCCTCGAGAACATAGTCGATAACATTGTCTTAACTTTGTAAGGTGACAGATGGTAACTACACTTATTGTGGTGGTCATTTTGCAATGTATACAAATGTTGAATCACTATATTGTACACCTGAAAATAATATATATTTTATGTCAATTATACCTCAATAAAATATGGATATTGTTATAGATATTGTAAAAAAGGCATATGTTTCTTTGATAATCAAGAAGAAAAGCGATTGGGAACCCCATGAGAAATATAAAACTACATTCCAAATTTAAGAATCAAACATAAAGCAAACTTAAATATAGGATAATTTGGACTCTTTAGTGAAGAAGAAGCAAAAAAGAATCACACTGAAAAACAATTAAAAAAATAGAAAAATAAACTTTTTTACTCTATCACACACAAAATAAATTAGTAATGATTAACAATAAATAAAAATATATAAAATTATATAATAGTATTTTAAATACATCAACAAATAGTTAATAATAAGCCTGTGATTCAGTTGAAGGAATATTAACTTGGGCTCTCATCCTTTGTTCATTCCTTTTTCATTAACCCTAGAACATCTTATCTCTCTCATATGTCTCATTTACTCTATTACTGAAAATAATTTTTAATGAAGGGAAGCTATGAATGGTATCAGTAAAGACGAATAGGAGTCAATTCAGAATTTACAAA